GAGGTCAGTGGGGGGCCAGAACTCTGCAGTCTCTGGTGGTCTGCTGAGATCGCAGCCTTAGCCTACCAAAGCCAGATCTGCCCTGGGGCCTTGAGAGGGGCCTCACAAAATCCCAGGTACGGGGATGGTATGGCACAATTAGGGGAAGCTCACCACCATGTGGAGGCAAGATCTGTGGGCTGTCAAGCTGTCCCCTGGGTTCTCAGGCCCTCTGGTAGTTGGAGGCCAGAGGGAGGCCAGAACCTGGCACTCTCTGGAGGTCTGCTGAGCTCCCAGCCGCTACCCCAATAGAGGTCCAAACCCACCGTCTCAGGCTGTCTCAGCAGTCCATTTTCTTAATCTCTCCCTGTGAAACCTTACCTTTTAGTAATGTGAAATGTTTTCTTCTGCCTGACAAATTATTCTGATCCTACAAACATGATGTGGTCTCTTCTTTTTCAAACTCTTCTGACTTGTTTTTTGATATAGGATGGATTTCTTTCTGCTTTATGTTGTAGTAATTTTTTAAAATACTATTTTAATTTTGTGTGTATCAGTGTATTCCCTGCATGTATGTGAGTGCACCCATGTTGTTCAGTGCCGCAGAGGTCAGAAGAAGGCTTGGGATTCCCCTGAAACTGGACTTAAGGACGGTTCATAGCCACCATGTGGGTGGTTGGAACCGAACCCTTGTAGTGATTTTATTATTGTTAGACTTAGTCTTACCCTTACAATGTGTAAATTCTTTAAATAACAAGAAAAAAAAATCTTCCTTTAGTGAGAGAAGAGCCAGAAGTTGCTGCAGGTCTTCCTTTGTGTTCATATTTCCTATTTGAAAAACAACAACAAAAGCAAAGCAAAAAGCAGTAGCATTATACTCAATCCCAGGGGATAGAGGGAAAGGTTATAGCTAGGCACTAACTTGGCCCAAATCACAAGAGACAGAATGAATTCAAGTCATCTAGGATTGAATAAGCAGTGACCAGCAACGGTTCCCAGAGAAAGGAGCTCTAGCTGGACCAGTAGCTGGTACCCAAGAGGAACCGTGGTCTTCTTTAGAGGACACAGCCTAGGAGTGAGGGAACTAGGAAAACATACTGATCTCTCTTCCATCCCACTCTGCAGTCTGCTGATTGTTTCTCAAAGGCTAAACCCAGTAGAAGTCAAATTGCAGGGGGATATATTAGCTGAATCACAGAAGTCAGCCTCCTTGTGGTTTGAGTGGTGTGCAGGGTTATGACATGAGTCTGAATGTACAAATAGAAAATGTACAGTTCAATAATAGACATTATTGATAATCTATCTTAGCAATATTGGGCTCAGACAGAGGCACAGCACATGACTGTGCCAATGACTGGCCAAAGGAAGCTTTGCATTGGCCTTTTAGTGCCAAATCAATTAGGAAATCTACAGTCAGCAGGCAGAATGACTGGCAACTAACTCTTGGTACTTATTTTAGGCATTTTGTGAAATATATTATGAGCGTTGGATAATATCTCCTAAAAGGCAATCATTTCTCATTATGATGAGGCCCCACAGATATTTCTATTTGAGGCAGAGTGAAGTCATCTACTTGCTTATTGGAAAAAGAGTCGGAATAAATCGCCACAGGAGTGTGTTGTCAGAGAGAATGTGTCAGCCTGGAGTCAGCAAGAGGAAATGGAAGACAGACGACTCCCCAGGAAGCACAGTGCTTTTACACTGAGCACAACCAGAGAAGGTTTCATCATGACCAAATTAAGATGTACACTGTGGTCCCCACAGAGCTGCTGCGTTTGAGTCAAACAGCTTGAGATGGCCCGGAGAGAGCAGTATGACTCGGCTGTGCTGGGGTTTAGCCCCACTCCACACTGCCTGCCTTCTTCCTTTCCTTTCTCCCCCTTAGACTTAGAATTCTTCTCTCTCTGGTTTTTGCAAGTAGAAAGTATGTATGATGACTCAGCACCACTATCCCGCTTGCTAATGGATTGTCACAGCTAGAGTTGTTGTACCCTGAAGCCTTCTTTTAACTTGGTACCTTAGAGGGTTGGGGTTGAAGTCCATTTGCTCACATAGATACTTCTGTCCTTTGGGGGAAGATTTTATTTTTTTACTTTCTTGGTCATGGCTGAGGACATGGGACATTCTACACTGGGTTTTGGATGGGGAAGGCTGAGGCAATAATAGGAAGCCTTTATTCAAAATGGCAGCTTCATGCCTAGCATAATAGATTTACTGCTATAAAGTCTCACATTATAATTTCTTAATCTTGATTTGAGTTCTGTAATTGGGACTAACAGAGTAGTAAACATGACATTTTCTCCATTTATATAACCGAGACTCACAAAGACCAGCACAAAAATCAGTGCATCTGCTGAGTCTGATATCCTCATAAAAAGATATGGCGTTTATATGAGTTCTTCTGCTCTTAATTTCTAAATCAGATTTTCATTGGGTTCCACTTTACAGATAAAGGCAGTTTTTATTTCCCCACTCAATGAGTTTTGGTTGCCCCTTTTCTCATCTTGATTATTTAAGGGATAGCTAGGGCACTTCATCCTGTTGGATATGCTAAAATAGTCCCGTGACTCTTAAAAGTCACAATATGTGAGGCATTCTTGGAGAGACTGTGTTACATGGAGTTAATGAAACAAAGAGAGTCTTCTATTCAAATCCTTTGGGAAATCAAGTCACCAGCCGAAGGCCATAGGGGAAGAGCAGCATCAGTGGAGTGAGGTAGACCTGGCTTTGAAATTGGCCTCTCAGCTTCATCCTCTTAGACCAGGTCCTTGATGTCTCTGACTTCCTGCTTTATCTGTAAAATGGAGACATGCTGATGAAATGGCATGACAAATTAAAACTACATGTGTATATATACTCTGCATAGTAATTTTCTTTCTTATAGAATAGGCATTAGGGCAGGCAGACTATTACTATTTGAAATTGTGCCACCAACTGTGAATTGCTACTTGGGAAAGATTCCGAAAAGTGTGCATTATACTTCTCGCCCTGCATCAGGGATGCTTAAAGGACAAAGGGGATGGAGGAGAGCGATACTTGAAGGCAGAGGAGGGACTCTTGTCTTCTCACAATTCTCAGCCGCACTGTACTACTTCCCTTCAGCTTATCTGAGAAACCATAAGTAGAACGCCTGATGCTGAGTGCTCAGTAATACATCAGACACTCTCCACCCTTCCATGGATGTAACTACTGTAAACCACAGAATAAAAAGCTGTTTCTAAAATGAGTTCTTGGATATGTCCAGAGAATTTGTACCAATAATTAACAAGTATTGCGCACACGTCCATGCTTAGAATAGACCCAAAGTGAGTGTTTTAGGAAGAATTTCAAGATAGAACTAGAACAACCCCATATATAACTGAAGAAGGCAAAGCCTGTGTTGACTTCTCATCTCTTCTGCACATCTCCTCATGCCCTGACAGCCCTGTGATTAAATGAATAAGAAAATACTATAAGCGAATATGTATTCAATCTATAAGAATCTTGTCTCTTAGAGAATGGGCTTTAGAATGAAGAATCATATTTCCATTTGAAATTTAACATTTCTGAATCACCCTGACACTTCTGGTGTGACCAGGTGTTTGCTTTTATTTCCTCTTCATTTTATCACTGGGCTTCATCTATCTTCCTTAAGGAGATTCTGTTGCAAAGTTGTCCCCCTTTCTCAACTCAAAATGCACTGTTATATTAACTTTTTTTCTTATTTAAAACTAGTAAAGAATAAATACTTAAGGAAAGTAATTCACTAGCTATGTCAATAGTTAAATGAGGTTATTTTGTTATTCTTACAGGGATGTAATTTAAGTATCGGAAACTTGAAGACTGGGCAATATCGTAATTTAAGAAATGAAGTATTACAAGATAGAATTCTAAGCTCCATGTTTGTGTGGGAGAATGTTAGTCATGCATGTTAGTCTCATTTCTGAAACCTTCCCCCAAGTCATATGAGGAAGCTGCCACTTTTACTAATCACTTGACATTCCAACTGCTTCTTTGATCAAGTATTTTTCTCTGCCATTTCACTTAGTTTCAAATAGGCAAAAAGTAGAAAAATAATACAGAACAAAAACAAGCTGAGAATGGTGGTACATGCTTATAATACCAGCACTTGGGAGGTAGAGGCAGGAGTGTTGCCACAAGTTTAAGCCAGCCTAGTATACATAGCAAGTTCCAGTCCAGTCAAGGATATATAGCAAGACCTTGTCTCAAAACAAAACAAAACTTTATTAAGCCTCCTGAGTTATTTAATTTTCAACTTCCTTTTTTTTGGTCCTTTTGAGACAGGGTCTCCCTACAGTTCCAGCTGGCCTGGAACTTACTATGTAGACCAGGCTGGCTTTGAACTCACAGATATCCACCTGCCTCTGCCTCTGCCTCCCAAGTGCTGGGACTACAGTTAAAACTTGGTATTTTTTTTTGTAGAAAACTTTCTATAGTTCATTGCAAAGAGGTCAGATGTCATAGTAGTAACAGAGGAACGGACTCCCTAAAACTTCATCTATAACTTCAGATATTTGGTCTAATACTTATCCCTGACACTGTGCTTTAAGCTGAGATCATCTTAAACCTTATAGTCTACCTTTTTGGAAATAACAAAGACTTGGCTCATTTTTGCAACTAATATTCCAACGTGAGTCATTAAAACAGCTATATTAAAAAGAAAAACAGCTATATTTTCTAAGGGTCTCAAAGTCCCTTTCCCTAAGAATTCCTGGGAGATTTGATAGGCGTTTTATACAAGAATGGAAACTAGCTCTAAGTGTTTGAGAGACCTCATCTGGACTATACAATGAGTTCTAGTGAAAGGAAAGGGGAATTTTGTTCTAGGACTAACGGGAGAGCCCTCTCCCATCTCTTAGTTATAGAAAAGCCCTCTGGTCAAGGTGGGTGGGAGTTTAAGACGCTGCTGTCAGACTGCTGGCCAGAGAGGAAGGATCATGTGGTTATGCTCTGATTGATACTGGCCTGTGATTTATGCACTTTGTTAGACAAGCTGCTTTCTTCTCATGTTCCTCTAACAGGCAGCCTCATTGCTGGAGAGGACTGTTAGCTGCCTTCTCTGCCTAGCCACCATCACATGCCTCTCCACTGGAGCCTGGGAAGCCTGACCACAGACCGGAGTCTCCACAGCATGAATAATTAGGTAGGCATAATGGAAGGCACACACTGCACCCTCCAGTTGCATAACCCCATCACTGAACTCTGCTACATCAGCTTCTATCTTCCAAAGGGGGAAGTCAGAGGATTTTCATACAAGGGCACTGTAACTCTAGACAGATCCAATAACGCTTTTCACAACTGCTACCAAGTCAGGGAGGGGCCAGATATCACCAGCCTCAGCCAGCAGCCGAACGAACATCCAGGAGACATATTTTTCAAGCAGATTCCCACGAAAGACATTCTGACTGAGCTGTACAAACTCACAGCGGAGAGGGAGAGACTGTTGGCCAGTCTACTGAGCTCAGACCACATCCTGGGCATTTCCATGGGGATCCAGGAGGGGAAGCAGGAGCTGTCTGTGAGTCTTACCCCTCAGGACGACTGGTTCCAGAGTGCTGGTGACTGGCGCGGGGAGCTCCCTGTGGGCTCTCTCATTAAAAGGAGAACCCAAGAGAACAAAAAGCCCCGGAGGTCTGGCGGAAGGAGAGAGAGCTCAGAGGAGCTGCAAAAGAAGAGAACCAGGAGGAAAGGGCGTGGCCGCCAGGAGTCAGTTCCTCAGATGGGGAAGGACCAGATCTGTTCCAGCAGCTCCCTTCCTCCTTCTCGAGCAAGGCCTAATCTTCGGCTCCTTGAAGAAAGAGGAAACTTGGTTCCACAGGGGACACTTACCTCTTCCCTACGGAGGAGAGAGAGCTGCCCTGCAGACATCCTTAGGACACCAGATGCAGACCTGGGTTTCAGGTTCTCAAGGAGGACCTCACAGGACACTGACCTTGGAGGACTGCAGCCCCCTAACAACCGCTCCATCTCCTCTGAGGCAGGAGATGCTAGCGTTGGAGGGCAACCAAAGAGTCCTGGCAAGCTGGAGCCTCAGCAACCAGGTTTGTCTGAAAGTCTGGAGGGCACTGAGAAACATTCAGAGGCAGAGAGGGGCGGGACTCGGAAGTCAAAGTCTTTGGAGCGGACTTGCAAGAAGAAACCTGTTTCCAGAGTGGTGGCCAAGGTCCAGGAGCTGTCTGCTCAAGTGCAAAGAGTAGTCCCGACGCATCCTGAAGGGGAGGGAAGGATTGCCTTTTGCCCAGAGGCCCAAGCTGAGTTTATCCCTAAAGCGGATTTGCTCACCCTCCCAGGAGCCAGGGCTGAGACTCATAGTTCTCGATGGCTGGGAGAGGGCCAGCAAGGGGACAAGTCATTGCAGCCCTCAGCCACAGAAAGAACCTCCATTTCAGGTTCTCCAGCCAGCACTGAGGGAGCTGTAAACAAGGTCCTCCGGAAAGTGATAGAAAGCGAGAAGTTAGATGAAGCCACGGAGGGAAAAAGGCTAGGCTTCTCCCACAGCACAGCGGTTACCCTCACCTTCCCAGAAACCAGAAGCCAAAGGAAGACTCAGCTGCCCCAGACTGGCCACAAATCCTTGTTTCTGCATCTGCCCCACCCTGTAGGTCCCGTCTTGTCACAACCCAGAGATGATGAGAGGAGGGCATCCCCCCCAGCACCAACAGCTCTCAGCATGGTATTTAATAATTCATCCCTTCAGCCCAGCGCACACAAACGCCTGTCACCTGTTCTTTCGCCTCTGTCTCCGAGGTTCCCCAGCCCTCAGCAGCACCACAGGATCCTCCGGCTCCCTCCGCTGCCTGGTGAAGGGGAAGCTGTTCTTAATGAGTGTCCTGGTAGAAAGAACGGTATCTCCTCTGGGTTCCCTTCTGTTGACACCTTGGAGCCACCATCTTCTGCAAAGGTCACGGAGTCCAAAGGAGCCAGCCCAACTTCCCTCAGAGCAGGCCAACCTTGGTTGGTACCCGGGGAACCTTCAGAAAAGGGGTTGGGGCCAGAGAAGATCACAGCTCAGTCCCAGTACCAGCCACCTCCAGGTTAGTCTCTGTTTAAGCTGTTTAGATCTGTGCTTGGGAGATTCAAGAGCTGTTTGCTTGTACTATCAAGAGACTGGGTCATTGACAGTGAACTGAAATTCCCAGGACTGTTAATTCATTTGGTAGTAAGAACTGAAGTGTGTGCAGGGGGATGGAGATGGTGAAGATGATGTGGACTTAGAAGGCTAAGAGGTATAATTGTTTCTGGAAGCAATACTTTACAAGCACTTTGCTATTTTGTTTATTTACGGCACATTCTAAAGCTGCCCCCATGGTTGCTTAATACGGACTCAAAGGGAACAGGCAGAGAGAAGTAGCAACTTGTCACTGCCTTTGATGCTACCAGTGAGTAATTGGCCCATTGACCTAAATTCCATTGTTGGCCTTGTTGATGTCAGTCTAGGGAGTCTCTAAGCAGAAGCACAAAAGTACACTGTTTTTACTCATATGTCTAATGGTTTCCCTTTTTGTTTTCTATAATCACCTTTATAAGTGCCATTATTTATAACAAATATGTTTTACCAGAAGGGAAGAATTCAGTCTAATTTGAAGATACTTGGGTGCATGATGTGGTTGTGTGTGCTTATATTCCTACTACTCAAGAGGCTGAAGTAGGAGGTTTATGAGTTTAAGGCTAGCATGGGCTACAGAGTGAGTTCAAGGCCAGTTGGACTGTGTAGTAAGACCCTATTTCTGAAAACAAGAAAGAAACTTGGTTTAGATTTTCTTTTGATTCCTTTTCTGTTTAATTACCAAAACAAGCACAAAGTAACTGTAACTATTTAAAGTTATGTTTTATATATGGGTCATGGGACTGGAGTAACAATGCAAAAGGTACTAAGGAGCGCCTCTGACTTGATGTAATTTAGATTTTTGCTTGAAAACAATTTTGAGCCTTCAGTAAGGACTGCCATTTTCCAAGCTGATGTGGTCAGATGCTGGGGGTTTGTGTGCTGTTGTGTATGTGATGTGTTCTTCTGAAGTGGTCTTTGAACAGTATATAGTCAAAGTCTGGCTGGAGACTAATTTGTAATCTGATAGAGGATCTCTTAGATGGCATAGGAATTTTATAGAAAATTCATGTGCAATTTTGAGATAAAAATATTGATCTAGGGAAGAGGAGTTGAAAAAAGCTTTCTATTTTATAAATTTCCGGTTTATAAATTCTCCTACATCACCAGTGCAGAGCGATGGTTCTTTAAAACATGGTAAATACTTTTTCAGCTCATTTTTGCACTGTGTCCATCTTAGTTTGATAAGACTTGCAACTTTCTGCCTCAATAGGAAAATCATAGAATTGCAAAATCTATATTATGTGTGTCAAAACTGTAGTAATAAAAATTCTTGCAACAGGTACTGGCAATTTGGAAGAGAGGTCAGTGGAGTTAGGTGAGGAGGCATAGTGTGGAATTGTTCCCTCACTCCAAAGGAGTTAGTGTTAATGTCAACTGGAAAGAATTTAAAATCACCCGGGAGATGGTCCTCGGGACACACCTGTGGATATTATCCTGATTGTGCTAATTAACACGGGAAAATCCATCTTAATTGTAGGTGGGGCCATTCCCTGGGCAGGGCATGCTGGGCTGTATAAGATAGAGGAAATGAGCCAAGCACTACTGTTCATTCATTCACCATGTTTGTTTCTGGGCTGTGGGTGTAATGTGACCAGCTGCTTCCTGCTCCTGTTGCCTCAACCTCCCCGCTGTGATGAACTATAACTTAAACTGTGAGCCAAAATACGTTTCTCCTTTGGGTTATTTTGTAAGGCTATATTATCACCATAACATAAAAAGAAATAAAGACCAATTCCTTTTAGAAATCACATCAAATTCAAGAATTGTATGTACCCTTCATCCAGAATTTCTGCATTGAGTATATTAATATGTTGTAAGTTTCTTTTTCCCTTAATTTAGAATTGTCTTGTCATTTTATTGCCTTTAAAATATTTTGATTGTTTTGAAATAGTGTCTTACTATGTAGCCCTGGCTGACCTGGAACGTTGTATATAGTCCAAAGTAGACTTTATCCCACAGAGATCTGCCTGCCTTTGCCTCCCAAATGCTGGGATAAAACATGGGAGCCACCATGCCCAGCTTACTGCCTTTTTCTGTATTATAGATGCCACATCCGAATTAAGCTCCATTGTTTGTAAACACATAAGAGATTCAGTTTCTGTTGGTAACTGTGGACCCACTGAGGGATACGTTGGGTGGATGGTCCTACTTTCCCAGTGACCTCTCCAAGGAGTTGTTCATAAGCAGTCCCTTTTCTTTGGCCCACCTTAACACCTGGATCTTCACCAGTGCTTTCAGGAGCTAGTTATAAAAATCACAGGGATCCCTTGCCATGGAGACCTCCTGTGCAAGGAGAAACCTTATAAAAGACAGAGTATACGGGCTCTAGTGGGGGGAGGGAGGCTATGGGAGGGTGCTATCTGGGAAGTGGGTGTATAGTCGAATGAGATGGTTTGGGATGTTCTGTGTGATATATATATATATATATATACACACACACACAAATCAACAACAAAAAAGAAAGAGTTGGAAAGGGGGAGGAGAGTAGGAGGGGAGAGGCCTTTGTTCTCTTAGACTTTGTCCCAGACACCAAGACCCTGTCTTTTACTGGCTCCTTTTTGGGATGCATGGAGGAGGGAGAGTTGTAGCTGTTATCCTTGATCTACAGCATGTCTTTCCCCCTTCCTTCTCTTTACTTTCCCTTTGCATGAGTCCTTATCGTCTTTTAGTTACTCCTGCAGCTGGTGCTTTCAGATAGGGGAAGTTCCTCCTTTGTCTTTCTCTTCACTTCTCTTCCCACTCAGTCTCAGCAGAGACCTTAGTAGCCAGCCTTTCAGAGGTAACTAATTTACCATCATGCTATAGTGGTCCTTTATGTGAATCCAACTCCCACCTTTTCCCCATGTTACCTATTAACCAGATTGGTTTTATGGTCTATGGTCATGTATTTCCTGAGGAAATAACAGCTAAGATTTTCACTGACGTGATGGGAGCAAGATTATTAAAAGCCCTCATTAATTGCTTAAGTAAGAGATTAATGCTGGCAGAAGTAATCAGATCTATTTCTAGGTGGAAAACTAGTTGCAGAAAAGTCATTCATTCTCAGAAGAGAATGAAATCTCCACCTACAAGATAAAATCTTTAAATCCAAAATTATTGCCAACCATGCAGTATGTAACAAAGGTTTCACAAAGGCTATTGATCCATCTACTGTTTGCTTTATAACTTTCCAAACATCCCAAGGACTACACACAGGACTTTCTCATCTTTTAGCAATATGATCAAGCAAAGTATATGCTAACTGTAAGTGGTGTTCTGGTTTGTCTTCTCATGTTTTCCTCCTTTGCCAACTTTATAGTGGTTTTATAGGCTTTTACTTTGGTGAGCGATAGAGGTGACTAAATGTTCCAGGCCTTTAGGAAGTATATTTCCTTAAACTTGCGCTAACCTACACAACAGCATCCTTGGGGCTTAGTGTTAGGATTCTTTTCTGGTTTCCTGTTTTCATTTATCTTTGATTAAAAAAAAGAAACCTGTTTAAACTTTACTGCCATAAGAATCACATGCCAGTTGGCTCACCATACCAAGGGAATGCCCAGTCTCTCTTTTGTTATTCAGAAACCTTATGATTTGTTCTTTGAAGTCAGTAAAGTGCTGATGGAAGCATATGCCCTAAGCATAGTGTTTCTTGATTTTGAGAATCATTTGACTAGTTCTTGTGCCCATATAAGATGTAACTGATGCCCATGCATTTAGGGTTGAGAGGCACTCCTGTAAGAGATCATACTGTATCTAATTCTTCTGTCAAACCTTTGATTTCTCTCTGGTCATATATTTTGTGCTGTACATACTAATTTTTTTCTGTATAAACTTTGAGGTTTGATTTAATTTGAATAAAATTTAAAGAAATCCTCATTAATGGATATGCACACATATTTATATTACTTCAGAAAGTATTCAGTGCATAGAAAATTATCTGTAATAGTTACAAAAGAAATGAGGTTTTGGAAATTGCATATACCATATTATATCTAGCATATCAAAAGAACTTGTGTGCAGTATGGTGGGGTTGGAGATAGGGGAGGGTGTCTGAATATGATCAAAATGCCTTGTGTGAAATTCTCAAAGACTCAATAAAAATATTTTTTAAAAAAAGAATATAGGGATTAGAGTGACAGAAAATATCAAAAAGTCATCATTAAGATTATATGTAGCTATGATCTAGTGACCCTACTCTTGGGAATTTAGCTTAACTGGATGTATGTACCAGTAGGAATGTATGCATAAAGGTATTTACTGCAGCAATTTTTAAAATTATTATTATTACGGTTATTTGTGTGTGTGTGTGTGTGCGCGTGCGCGTGTGTGTGTGTGTACGATGCATGTGTATATGGTTGTGTGCATGCACAGAGGGCAGAGGACAACTTTGTGGAGCCAGTTCTCTGCTTCCACCTTTACATAGGCTCCAGGGCTTCAGGCTTACATGGCAAGTGCCATCTTGCTGACCATAACATTCTGCCTCAGAATGTCATAGGTTGAGGCCTTTATTTTTTTTAATTTTATTTCATATATATATATATATATATATGTTTTGCCTACATGTATGTAAGTATACCACTTGCATGTAATACGTGTGGACACCAGTTGAACGATTGAGGGCCTTGGATCCCATGGAACTGGAGTTTCTAATAGTGGCTGTTAGCTACCCTGTGGGTTCTGGGAACCAAATACAGGTTCTGTGCTCTTAAGTGCTGAAACATTCCTTCAACCTCTTGGTTGAGGCATTTAAAAGCCCATGTTTCAGGGTAGGTGTGGTGGTATGCACCTTTAATCCCAGCACTTGGAAGGCAGAGGCAGGTGAATCTCTGTGTTTGAAGCCATCCTGGGCTAGTAGGTGATCAAGGGCTTCAAACATTGCAACTAACATTTCTGAAACTCAAGTAACAGTTTTACTCCAGAGTAAGACAGTAAATTGAATCATCTAGG